GGGTGGGTGGGGGGGGGGGACACTCGGGAGGGCTGGGGGAGCCAGCAGGGGATGAGGCAAGGCGGGGATCACCCCATGGTCACCTCCCCTCCTCTCCTTCAGCCCCCACCCTGCCCCCTAGTTACTGGCACGGAGCCTAGGTCCAGCTCCCTGCGGATGGTAAGCGGGGACTGCCCAAATCTCCAAATCAATTTGGAGGCTTCCAATTAAATTCAGAAGCTTCCGATTCAGACCTTTTAATGGGTCTCCTGATTCGATTCAGATTTGGAGATTTGGACCCTGAATCGGGCTAAATCTCCTCTAAATCTGTAACAGGGTGTCTCCTCGTCAGGTCTTTGCTGGCTGCCCTGCTCCTGAGGTCTTCACTCACCTGCCATGCCCTGATGGAAAAATATGAGAGCTGTTACCCATTACTGGCCCTGCTAACAACGGCCTTAATACCCGCTCTGGCTTCCCCTCCACAGGTCCCATGCCTTGCAGATGTTACTCTGGTGTTACTTCTCTGGCCTGTGGCCAGAGCAAACTGTGCATGCAGTTGTAGCTCTTTTCTACAGCCCCAAAGCGCCACTCACATACCACCTCTCTCTCACCAGCGTCCCATTCACTCCACTGGCTTTCACTCAGCCTCTTTCATACTGCCCTGTCTCTCAGGGCCACACTTATCCCGCCTGGCCTCACCCCTGCCCTCACCTCCTGACTCTGGTTGGAGCAGCCTCTCAGCCTGATGTTTCTCCTCCCTTCCTGCAGCAAACTGCAGCCCAGATTATAGCACTGGGCCAAATGACTGCCCTCATCAGGCACCTGGCTGCTACCTGTTTGCTGCTCTTGAAGTGACAGGCACCAAAGGTGCCCTGTCACAGAATCAAATTGGCTACTGAAGCTTTGCACAGCCCTAATGAATACCCGTATCCCAAGGGCTGCTGTGGCTGTAACAGGTTGGAGTTCCAGGGTGGTCATGATGCTCCCTGGTGGCTATACAAATCCTGCCCTGGCTCAGACTAGCTCTTTGGGTGCCCTCTCAGTTCCTGGTCTCACCCACCATGCCTTTGGTGTTAGGCAGCCTCCTTCCTAATAAATCTTGAGAGTCTAAGAGTGAACCTATCATTGGAAGTGTCGGGCTTTGGGTTTTGGCTTTCTCAGCCTCTGCCCTTTTGCTCTAACTGAGTCCTGTAGCCCTAGTCCATGGACTGGACTGAGCTTCAGTGTTCTCAGCTTCTTGACTTGCCTGCTTAGGTTTGTGTGTCAGACTGCAGCACCCCCCTGCAGGTGCTATGGGACCTTCTTAAACACCCCTACA